CCATCTTGACTGAATTTTTGTTCCAAAACTATTCATCTTTACACTAAGTTCCTCTGGCCTTTCTCCTCACAGGCAGTAGAAGAAATGATTCTATTTCTACCTAGTATACATTTCAGGACATCCATAAATTGAAAAGCTACAGAACTTTAATTCTGCTCAGGATCCTGTTCTAAATACTGAGCTCCTCTACTAAAATTCTGCTCATGTGTGCTCCTACATCATGGTTTGTTCCAGAACAGTCTCATTCCAGCATACAAGAACTGCCCCCCAAAGTACAGTGAAACCAAAGAAAAGAGGCAGGTAGATCTAGAGTTAACTTATTTGGGACTTACTGATAGAAGCATGGTCCTAGAATATAATGCTGCAGAATTGCTAAATATTGCAAAAACTTTTTCAACTCCTGCTTTGTGTGAGTGCAATTGCCTGAATGGTGGATCCCCACTGTTAAAGTGAGAGAGAAACGTCAACAAATTTAACCCATATGGCTGGTATGCCTGCCCCTTATGAGTACCTGGGGGCTCTGGCTCCTGCCCTAAAGATCACATATATTTAAGCTGTACACCTATATGCTTTACTGCCAGAGTTCATATACAGACAGAAAGCAATGATGTTTTACATACTACAACCATTAAACCCAGGGGAAGGGGCAATTCAGTGGGGTGGAGGATAGATACTCAAGTGTCTTGAACAACAGAATAGGTTAGCTGTTTTTCTTGCCACAGTGTGAAGTCTCCAGCCCTCCTAACTTGGTCTCCATCGATCCTGTTGGGAGTCTGGACCTGTGGTCATTGCTTATGCTCTGAGTGGGAAGGAAATATCTTAGTGCAGTACAGTTGGTCTCTTGGTCTGGTATGCCATTTCACTGTTTGTTTTTGGAATCACAAATGGCCCCTGTGCTGTTGACCAGCATGGGTAATCACCATCCCTCAGCTGTTGCCGTGCTATCTAATAGATAATGCCACCAGGATTGTCTTTCTGAATGGTACAGATACACCTTTACAAATCCCTACTAGCTGCAGGTTTTTGCAATTTTTGCTGTTTTCCCCAGAGCTTGTGCTTTTACCAAGACAAAATGTGTGCACATTCCTGATGTTGCGCACCTCATGTCACACATTTCTCTAAGGATTTCAGTCTGGCCAGGCAAGGTGGGTTTGCCTAATAGAATGGGTATCTGTTGCTTCAATAAACCATTTGTTGGTGTGTTCTTCACCAACTAACTGCCTGGGTATATGGAAGATAAATGCCATGATGTTTTGGGGTCCAATTCTGGACAGCATGTCTTGTGAAATGGGCACAACTCACTGTAAATGTGACATAAGCATCCATAATCACACTTAAGTTTTCAGGACCTTTGATAGTGGCAACAGACACTGTGAGCAGGTGATAAAATCCCAACCCACTCTAATTATATGGGCTCTCCAATTTCAGTGGCCTGACAGTTTATTTTACCTGGTATTTATTACCCAGTTAGAGGTGGACAGGCTAAGGTCCCATTTTGCTCCCCCTTTAATATCACCTTTTAATACCTAAAATTACCCCACTGAGGTCTGTAATGTCTTTCCTAGTAGAATATTCTTACAATGTTTTTTAGGGACCAGGAAGATTAGTACCAAATATGGCACTAAGAGGCACTGTCTACCAATTACTTGATATAACATAATCTGTTTTCCTCTGAGGCTCTTACCTCATATCCATCAGTACTTCCTAAGGCTCCAGGGAACATTCTGAGTTGCTGGGATTCAGACTACATTAAGCACCTGTATTTATCAGAGTGATGGTCCTTCCCTTGTTCTTGGAGGACAAGTCAGTAGAGCTCCATGAGGCTTCAGTGGCTCAGTACAGCCTTTACTCACAGGAAGTCAGGGGGGATCTATCCCATGTAGCCAGCAGTGCTAAAATGTGGAAATTCTTCACTTTCCCTTACAAGGGAAGCAGGATGGAAAGATTGGAACTGTTAGTGTAAAAACTCCTTCCAAAGATTACATAAGGCTGCTTAGCCTTTTTGTGGGGTGCCAGCATGAAGCAAATCATGCAGCATCTGCTATCTTATCATAAACATCACCTCCTTTCTTTTTTCTCCCATTTTTGTCTCTTATTTTTGGTCAGACTTCCATCCAGACTCTCCCAGGTTGTCAATAGCTTCACAAAAATCCAGTTCAAACACTGGGCTCAAGAGGGAGAGAAAAGAGCTGTACCATTCTTAATGAGCATTTTGGTAACAGTTTTTCTTTCTGGCCATAAAACTGCTTTATCAGGTCCTTGAAACACCTGGGTATAATAGGCTTGCTGTGTTTAATTCCCACAAAATACCTTGGGCTTCCTCAATGCTTTCCCATGGAGGTAGCTGTCCCAAAGATCCCCCTCATTTGACCATGCCTGTCATACCCAAGGCAATGTAAACTTCAGAAAATGATTTCCTCAGATTTGGCAGGTACCACACATATGCCCAAGGGCTTGAATGAGAAGCTTGTTACTCATTTTCTTTGCTTCCGTTCTTGCCAGAGAAATGCCATTCTCTCACCATCAAGGTGCGAACTCAGGCCTACACCTTGAGCACCTTTTTGTGATGGGTTTTTTCGAGATAGGGTCCTGTGACACTATCTGCCCAGGCTGGCTTTAAACTGTGATCCTCCTGATCTCTGCCTCCTGAGTAGCTATAATTACAGGCATGGGCCACTGGTGTCTGGCTGAATACAGAAACCTGCTGAAATCACCGTAAGGTAGAATGGAGAAAAATGAAGGGGATGAACCAATTCAAGATACAATACATATATACATGGAAGGATCATAATGAAACTCTGTGTGTTAAACAGACAAAAGTGTCTTTTTTTCAAAATCAGAGGAAAGGATGTAAAACAGGTCACGCCCGGAGGCTGGTACCTGGGGCAGGGATGGGGGGTGGGGTTAGGGGACGGATATAAGGAAAGGTTGTAGGATAAATACAGTGGAAACACTATGTACTCATGTATGAAAATGGACAAACACCTGTTGAAACTGTTCTTAAGAGGTATTAAGAATGATGGAGGGGATGAATCTAAATAAGATACATTATAAACACTTTTGTAATTGTCACAATGTACCCCCAATACAACAATAATGTAATTTTAAAATTTTGTTTTGTTTCCTTTCTTCAAACTCCTTCAAGGGCACACTTCATCCCCTGCTCATCTTTTCACAATGAACTTTAGATCCAGACAATGCACAGATGATCAGTACACACTGGCCAGCAATGGCTCACTATTTTTAAAGCACTGCTCATCCAGAGTCCACCCCTTCAAGAGTCTCCCAGAATTACTAAACCAGTCTCTCTTAGCAGGAGTTAACTGTTTTAGTCAAGAAAAATTCCAAGATGACATAGCTACTATTAGTGCTGATATCTAAACCCACATTTTCTGAAGGTTAACTCCATGCAGTTTCTGTGACACCACCACTACCAAATTGCTCAGCCATATGTAATAAAAAGCAATACAGTAGGCTAAAGAATGATATGGAAGTACTTTATCATGACACTAAACAGAAGTCCTATTTACAGAAGCCTAATCATACAATGTACATTGCACAGGAAAATGGCTCAGAAACAGCAGTACTAGTGATTTAAGTATTAATTGCACAAAGGAAAATGGTTTTGACTGATTTACAATTTTCAAATACAATTTCATATTGAACAGAATTTTCATTTTTTCTTAAAAGTACTGTGTTGAGTCAAAAATAAATTAGGTATCATTTATTCACAAGCACTAAATTTGAAAACAAGCTTGCAACTTCCCCCCACAGTCCATTTTCTATTTCTTACATTACTATAAACACCTCATTCCATCACCTGGCTGAATTCCTGTGATTTCCATACCATGTTCACAAGAATCTCTGGGAAAGCAGTGATGCCTTCTTTTGGAAGTACACTGATAACCCCTATTCTTCCAAACTTCCTCCTTCTGCCCTTTTGAACTATGCTTTATTCTTTTTTTGGCATAATAGAAAAAAATACCAGTAGGATTTTGAGAACCTAAATTCTAGGCTTGGCTATCATAAATTCCAGAAATTTAGGCCATGTATCCTCCTTAGGAATTTGTCTTCAACGGTGTCTAGTGCTTTGCAGTCCTTTATTATCTCATTTATCTTCACAACAGCGCTAAGACTTGTGGAAGGCAGTATTATAATCATTTCAGAGTAGAAATTCAATCGTAGAGAGGTCGTACAACCAACTCAAGATTCCATAGGATGAGCTAACTTCATGCAATCTTAAGATCAGAGTACTGATATATGCTGTGCTCCTAAGCTTACTATGTGAAAGAACAGTCATTCCCCAGGTCCTTTCCAATGATCACATTTTATGCTTCTTCTTGTTATTTTTTCTCTCAACTAGCATGAGAATTAGAAAATATGTATTTGACCAAATTGTACTTACCCTGGTTCTTTTAACTATTCTTTAATTTTTCTTGTATTTCTAAATTAAATAGAGAAAAGGTTACTTTTTGAAATAGTTCTCAGTGCTGCCTGCCTTTCTGAAGTTTCTGCAATTATCTTTTCTGTTTGTCAAAGGAGAGATACTTTACTAACAACATAAATTGCTTTTTATAACTTAAGAAATTATCCTATACTGAACATCAATCAAAACAAAGGAAATCCTTGCCAATTTCTATTTCCCAGAGTAGTAATAAAAATGCACTTTCTATTGATTTCATTTCTAATCTCCTGTCTTTATTTGGGAAATACTGTTATTCTCACTAACAAGAAAATGTCAGTGAGTCAGGAAAGCTCTTTTAATATTCCCTACAAAGATTGAACACCCACACTGGAAGATGAAACTTTGAATATTAAATGTGCAATTTAGGTCATGATGTAATACGTGTCTAAAATGACATGTTATCTTTCGTTTATAATAATTTTACGGATATAATGATTAGTCACGCTGACATATACAGAGAAATCAAAATACATTCTATGAGAAATCCTGAAAGGTCAAACAGCTCAATAAATAGTATGCTCTCCAAGTAGGGAGAATCAAACACAATATAATCGATAGAATTTAATATTCTAAAAATAAGGACATAAACAGGACATGGAGATGGGAAATACACAGAGGAAAAGTAACTTTGTGATTTTCTTCATTTTGATTGTATTGCTTTCTTGCCTTCAGGAGGGAAGACTTTGACTTCTAAAGTAACAAAATATTTGAGAAGGGAATTTACATCTTTCAGTTCCAAAAGGTATTCTTGTGCTATTTTCTCAGCAGTCCATGTTTCTGGAGAAAGTTTATGATTATTCAGAAGTGTCAATGCCTCTACAATGGAAATTTTGCCTTTGGGAATGTTTGTAATATCCAAATTAAAGTGAGGGCCTTTATGCAATCTGAATTCCTTTGGTGCTTGTTGGGTTTTAGCATCTTTTACCTAGAATCAAAAAAAAAAAAAAAGTCTTTTAGAATAAGAGAAAAGGTTTGCATTTTTCCTTATGCTCTCACATCTTCAGTTGCTCTTCAAATAAACACTGCACATACACATCCCCATTTTTCTCACTGTAATGAGCCACACTGCCTTCTCAAAAACATGGCTCATTATCATTACCATTTTAGGTAGCTCAGAAAACAACTGAACGCATACCACTCCATTCACCACATTTCATATACATAGTTCCTATGAACATCCCTAATCTGAAATTCAAACTTCTCCAAAATACAAAAATTTCTGAGCACCAACATGATGCCACAAGTAGAAAATTCCACCTGACTTCTTATGATGGGTCAGTCAAAATGCAGGTGCACTAAAAATATTGTATAAAATTACCTTCAAGCTGTGTGTATAACATGCATATGAAAAATAATTCAATGCCCCTAACAACTTGAATGAAAATATTCACAATTCCTTGCCTCTTCTGAGAAAATGTTTCTAATAGAAACAAAACACTTACTCACATTCATTGTCCCATCTGTCTGTCTCATTCATGATTAATCCCTGCATTGGTGGTGTATATTCCATTCTCAATACCTAGTCATTACAATTATTCCCTTTTTCTTTTCCTTTCAATTGTACTCTGCCTGTGCTGCTTCTTGGCCAACACATAAAAATTCTGTAATCACTAACCTCTTTTTCAATTGGCATATATTAAATCGAACATAGTAACATAGTCGCTACCATTTTAAATCTTCCAACAAACCCCAAATCCACACCCCTTTTATGACCAGTTTCCTAATCTTTAGTTAAGGTTTAACAGACAATGACATTCACTCTCTATTATTGCTTAATTTTGAGGTAGTTTTCCAACCTTATTTGAACTGGCTATAGTAGCCACTGTTGACCACATCAATATTCTTACAACTGTCACCCCCCCTTGGATTCCATGCCACATCTTTCACAGTTTTCCATGTTCTCCCAGTGGCTCCTTTTCTTTCTTCATAGACCCTTTTCCTTCTGCCATCCCTTAAATGTTATTATGCCACAAGTTGTAGCTACGGCCTCTTCTTACTCTAGACTGTCTTCCAAAAGAATCCCCCACATGCTCCTACTTTTCACTATAAACAACATGGAATGACTTCCAAATCTGGCCCTCAGACCAGACCTTGTTACTGATTCCAGGTCCACATCCACAAATGCTTAATGGGCATCTCTACTTGGATGACCTGCAAACATATCAAACTCATCTAAACTGAACACAACTAAACCTAAACCTACCTCCAATTCTACCTCCCCCACTAAAACAATACCTCCTCTGCTAAAAACTGGGGACTACACCTGACAGACACATCCGTCTCCCAAAATCATTACATCCAATCTTCATCCAACTCTTGTTAGTCCGGCTCCTAAGTGAACCACTCTCAACCCCTCACCCCAATCCCCTGTTCTATCACTAAACACCCTAGTCTGTGCCAATGCCATTTGCAGCAACTATTGCAAACTGCTCCCAGCTGGTCTTCTCTAACTGGATAAAGGGCTCTTCGTTCTCTCCCAGCCTACTCTCGAACCTGACATTATTTTTTGATATTAAACTCTTCAGTGACTTTTATGGCCCTCAGGATAAAACCAAAATTCCTCAACAAGAACATTCATGATCTGGCACCTGCCACTCTTCTGTCCAAACTCATTTATTCTAAACCTACCTGTCACGCTTTCTTTCCCACAACTGTATGAACTCTACCTGTTCTCCAAAAGCACCACTCTCCTCTTCTCCCTTATTACATCAACATCGCTCTTCCAAATTTCACTTCCCAAAACTCAAAGCTGCTCATCTTCCTGTTCCACTCCAAAGACACCTTTATTCAGATTTTCCCTTTCCCTTTAGTATTTAATATTGACACTGAAAAAAAATCTGACAAAATTGAACATTCTCTCTTAAAAAACCCCACAAAACTCTTAAAACTAAAATGTTCCAAATAGAAAAAAAGATTTTTTAAAAATCGTAAACAAGTATCATTTTATTATAATTCACACTGAAACATTAGCAGCGTCCTATGTAAGGAAGTAATGGATGAAAATGCCCTTTTACTGCTATGTTCATGATACAGACAATATAATAGAAGAATTAAGAATAGTAGAAAGAGAAAGAAAATTATAATTCCATACAGATATACATCTTTAGAAAAAGTTAAAAAATAACAGAAAAACTTCTACCTAATGGAAATAACCTAGCAATGTAGGTAACTACAGTATAAAAATCAAGCACTTTCTGATACATTAACAGTTAAAACCTCAGGGGGAAAACAAGATTCCACTTAATAGTTAACTTTCCCTCTATTCCTCGAAGACTAAATAATTAAAAGATATTAACCTGTCTCCACTTAATCTGTAAATTCTAATTTAATTGTACTCAAATCCAAACAGGACTTATTAAAGAAACTGTTAATTTGATTCCCAAATTCACCTGAAAAAAAAAAATGTGAGAAAGAAACTTTTGAAAACGATGAAAGTCACCACAGACACCAAGATACATTATAAAGCTCTATTAATTAAAATAGTATGATTCTATAGAAAAAAATAAATAGAATTGATGAGACCATAAACAGACCCACCTGTGATGTACAGCAGCATTTTAAGGAAGTAGAAAAGGTATGCATTATTCAATAAATTATGCATTTAGACAATTTGCATCCATTTTGAGAAGAGGTTTAAATTAATCTCTTCTACCTACTAAATACCATATTTAATGCCAAATAAGTATTTACATAAAATATACAGTCACAGAAAATGGTATGATTTAGTAAAAATATGAGAAATAATACTTGGAAGTATTACTCAATTTCATTTAAAAAATAACAAAAAACAGGCACTGACCCTTACATTTTTTATGTGAACATTTGATAAATGAACCCTACAATCACTACTACATGCAATTTACAAATCTTATTTTATTTTTCCTTTCTGTAAATATTATATTAATAGCTATATTTGTGCAGTCTATTGCCTATTTACAGATAGACAATACAAAAGAATTTTAAAAATTCTCTTTAAAAAAAAGAAAAAAAGGGGGGAGTTGTGATTGGCACTTTCTTGTCCTTTAATCAAACTCTTCTCCTGACCTAGAACCTTCCTTGACCCCACAAACTCTAATTCATCCTTCAGGCCCGAGTCTAAACATAACTTCCTCAAAAGCCATTCCTCATCCTCCTATTTAAAATAGGTCCTTCAGATATATTCTCAGTGTCTATAATTATGTACTGATGTTTGCTCATCTGTTTAAAGTCTGTGTCCTTCACAATACCCTAAGTCCTTGTGAGAGTAAGAACCATATTTGTTTTGTTCATCACTATATGCAAAGCAATGGTACTTACGTTAAGTGCTTGACACTGTAGCATGGACTTACACATAGCCTATAGACTTGTACATATTATTCGATGGATTCCCATTTTGAATATGTTCTGTGATTCTCCTAATTTTACATATTTTGTCTGAATACATCCTTAAAATAAATACCCCCACAAATGCAACACTAAAGAAGTTATTGAAATTAGAACATACCTCAATTTACAGAAGAGTAAGAAAATAGTACTCTAATGACAACTACAAGTACCTTAAGCAAATCCTATAAATTCTGAATTAACGTCAAATAATCCACACAACTGCATTCAATCAACACCTTCACAAGTTGTTTAGTCTTGGTAAACATACAATGAACAAAGGCGAATCTGTCCTGCTAGACCACTGCATTAAACCCGGCCCCGCACTGGGCTGGGGCACACCAACCAGGCACGGCTACACCTGCAGAGCATCACGCTTTTACCTCCTCTTCCACACTTTTCCTAATCATTTTCCTAGAGGCCCAACGTAAGGAAGCAAATAATTTACTTAAATTAGAACACACATTACATTACCCGCAGGGAAGACTCGGGATCTTTGGAGTCGACATACACGTCTTTTAGTAATGACAGCAGTTTGTTATCTTTTCTAGCAATCTCGCCCTTAATTTCTGGACGGTCTATGGAAAGAAACAAAAAAGGCCACATTTAAGACAATACAAATTTCTCTAAGATCCTGTACACTTAGCGTAAGACAACCCCTTTAACTTTTTTTTTTAATAAGCATAATCATGTTGACAGTTCGGAAGATAATTTAATGTAAATCGAATCCTAGGCCAGGCTCGGCGTCGGTCTGTGGAGACACCCGGAGAAAACTGGTCGCCAGACATAAGTGACAAAGGGTCAGCGAGGGTACAGGCCACAGCCGCGGGAACCACGAGGCCTGGGGGTCCAGCGACCTTTCAATGTCACCTTCCCGCGCACGGCCGCCCAGAGCCGGCGCCCCGCATCACTCACGGCTCAAGTGCTCTAGCAGGAGGCTTTTGGTGGAAGGGTGCCTGGGAGCCGTGGACGGCTTCAACTTGCTGATCTCCCGCTCTGCTCGGTTCTCCAGGTTGAAATTCCTGACCGCGCGAGTCACCGAAGCCCCCATAGCTTTACAACATGATGCCCTTAGGTTCACGACACACGTGGGAAAGCACCGGCACGGGTGACCTCTGGGCGCACGGAGCATGCGCACGTCTGGGGTCAAACCGGCCGCTCGCCGGGAAACGGGAAGTGAAGGCATGCACATCGCCCCCTGGCGGTCAGGAGGCCGCACACCGCCCAGAGAGGAGCGCTTCCTTCCGGGGCGGGCGACACGCCAACCACCGCGGGAGGGGCGAGGCCTGAGGCCGTGGACGTCCAGCAGTCTCGGCGCCCATATCCGCGCGGTTAGTCAGTCGCCCGGAAGCTCTCGACTATTGGATGCGGGACTTCTGCAGACCAGAATTAAATCCCCTGGAGGGAGACCGATCATTGGTTAAAGCTGCCCACGTGACTCCAAGTTGCAGAGTAGAGACTCAAAGTCCTGGGGAAGTTGGTCTTGAGGTCGTTTTACAGGTACATGCCGAAGGTCAAAGGTCTCCGCCCTTCCCTGCTTTTGTGAGAGGAAAATACAGAATGGTAATCATTCTCCCAATGAATGTCCTCAGCCGCTCTTATTTTTCAGCATCCTTACCTTCCTGGCCCCCTGTCTCATGCATTTCCGAACCACCGTTGTCTCTTTTGTGTTATCGTTTACATCGCCTTCTCTTAACTCGTTTTACCTAACGGGATACGTTTTAGTTATGCTTTCCTTTCCCGTCTCTTCATTTTTATTGCATAAGCACTGAGTCACCCTATTTCTCATTTCTGCTTTTAAGCTTGAGAGACCTCGGTGTAACGTACTGAAAGCCACAGTCAATATATTAGGGGGAAAAAACGAATATTACACATTCATTCTCTAATTCATCGCTTTCTCTCCTCCTCCTCTCTCTTTCCCCTGTCTCTGTTTCTGAATGGGTTTCTCTGATGCTATTTTATTTAAGATTCTTTAGAAATATTTATTAATCCATAATAAAAAGAAACCCACTAGTAAGGAAGTAGTAGTTACCGAAGTCACAACATTTTTCATAGTCTGTGGCTGTAAAATCTGCTTCTAATGTTCCCAGCCCAGATTAATGAAATAAAATAGATTGGTTGTTTTTAACCAGTTTAAAAGAGGAACAGGTGTAAAGAGAATTGAATCAAAGAAAAACTTGAAGTAAAGAAAGTTTTATTTAAAACTAATGTTATTATTAAAATAGCAGTGTTTAATCATAGCAAAAGAAATAGGAGGAATGAAGCTTTCTTAGTATGGATTATCATGAAACATATTATTACAGAGATTGGTATTTGAAATTAAGCTACCAGTGTTCTCTGATACAGTTTTGGTAAGTTATCCTGAAGGTGGCAGGCTGCCCCAACATTTCCATCTTTGTGCCTTTAAACATGTTTATAATTCAGTGTTTTTTAGCCAGTTTCTATAGATGGCAAGAAATTTTCATTGGCTTCATTATGTCTTCTATTTGCTTTAACAATTGTGGTAGCTATTCCACTTGCTGCCTGTTAAATATTTTAAAAGTGAAAACCTCCTTTACAGGAAGTGTTGAGGGCAGTGGATATTACAAAATGAAAGACTTCCTTGAATTCTCACATTCAAGCAGAGCTTGGATTTAACATCTAAGGGGCATCCAAATGTGAGCTAGCTGCTTCACCTGACCCTGGCCTTTCGCTACTCAGGCCCTCAAAGAGAAAAATGGAACACAGAGGTACTCTATGGGAAATACACAATTGGCTGTTGTCCTTTGGGAGTCATCAGGGAAATAGAATGTGAAGTATAAATGCATAATCCCAGCTCTTCTTGTCACAACGTGTAAATTATCAGTAAATCTGAACTTAACCCCTCCAGTTTACGATAAAGGGTTGAAATCAGGTCCCCAAGGAAAGTATAACCAGGATGCTGCTCAGAATTAAGCTTTTATCTGAGTGGAGAATAGATACTTATGGGTGAGTATTTCAAGATGCTAATGAATAAATCCAGATTATTGCCAACATACTAGAATACAAGCTTTTTTAAATGCTGAGTTTATTTATTCAGGAAGGTTAAAATAACAGCAGCCATTTTTCACAAAATGTGCAATGCTACAAAGATAAAACCCTCATCCAGTCCTTCAGTTCTTCTAGAATGTAACTTTTTTGAGGACAGAGATTTTTGTGTTTTCTTTCCTGCTGTATCTAACACATTGAGACTCTTACCACTCCTTCCTATGAACATTGCTCAGCAGCACTCTGATTTCAGACACTAAATCCAAGAAACAGGTAACTCAGTTGGCCCAGGACAGACCCCAGAGTTTCATTGAGCAAACCCCAACCACGAGTGGGTAGCACAGAAGATTTATGGATTAATGTCATCCTGGCAGAAGTATTGGTGTTCAGATAGAACTTCTCCAGGGCCTGGACTCCAGCTTAGGAGTGACAGAATTTGTCAAATAATTTACAAGGTTCCCAACCATGGTGATTTTCATAGCAGTACAGTGTTGTGTGATTTTGAAATTTAGAATAGTGGGGAGGGGAGGGACAAACAAAAACACATTAGACTTTGTACAGACCCATTCCTTAAATGGAGAAATACTAGCCTTATAGGTAAGATTTACCAGCCAGCAGTTAAACCACAGAAATCTGCTCTGGTTACTGTACTCATGACTTTTGTCATGGTATTAGTTTCCCATTGTTGCTGACAAGCTGCCACAAAAGAATGACTTAATCAAAACAATTTATTAGTTTACAGTTCTAGTGGTCAAAAGTTCAAAATAGATACGTGTGATAAGGGTAAAATCAAGGTGTCAGCAAAGTTGTCTTTTTCCTGGAATCTTGGGGAGAATTCTTTTCCTTGCTTTTTTTTTTTTTTTTTTTGCTTCTAGAGGCTTCTGCTTATCAGCAGTCAGTGGTTACATCACTTTGTTGTTACATATCATTCTGAGCATGACTGTCCTGCCTTACTTTGTCCCTTTTAATACCTTTACAATTACTTTGGACCTATGTGGATAATTCAAGATAATCTCTCCACTGAAATATTCTTAATTTTGTCAATGTGCAAAGTACCTTTTTCCACATAAGGTAACATATTCACAGGTTCAGGGATTAGAGATAGACATCTTTGGGATTATTCTAACCACCATAGTTAACTCTTCAGAATATCCACATCTACTGGTGAGGCTCTAATCAATTTAGTAAAATTCTAAGAATGTTGGAGAAAGTGCTACTATGCTTCATGCAAACCCATGGAGCCTATGTTCTAGTAAAACTGTCTAATGTTTGAAAGAATAAAAACATTTTATTATCACTTTATCAGTTTTTTTAAGACTTTTATGAACTTTATTTTTTTGTTGTTGTTTATTTATCAGTTCTATGTATTGCACAGAGAGGCAGTTCTTTAGGCCTGACCTGTCACTTCCTATGGAGCATTTGCATCTGTCAATGAGAAAGTATGAGCCTCCTGCATATAAAGCAGTATGACTAGGTCCTGTAACTGTGGCATCTTAGAGACACCAGAAGTCTATCATTTTCCTTTCTTTATTCTGTTTCCTACCTTGCTGTTCTCCTCCCTGATTATCCTCCCATTCATTTTCTTAGCTTTTTATTTTCTTCTCTTCTCCCCTTGTATTCAACTTTAGAAGGCAGGTACAGGAAAAAGTGAGAGGTAAGAAAGAAGGAAAGAAAAGAACAAGAGCACTGTGTCAAAGGCAGAAAGGAACCACATCCTTCCATGTGGTTGAAGAACCTCATCAACCAGCTCTCCTTCCTGCAACTTCTTCTCTTCCCACTGGATCTGTGCAAACTATTTAGAAGTTAATAGTTTTGAAAGAAATTATTTAAACCTGTGACTTCAGCTAAAGAAGTACCAGAAGAAAATAAGCATGTGTCTGTGTATGTGTATTAAATATTCCTGTTAGAAAACTAGAAAGATGGAAGGTAAATGAATTCAAAGTAAGCATTCAAGTCAGAAACACAAGAATATCAAATAAAGTTAAAAAAATTTTGAGGTACTAAAGATAAAGTAGAAATCTATGTAGAAAATGGACAGCTGGTTCTTTGATACTATAAAATCTGAAATCTGCCTAAAATTAGAGGAAATATGAGACCTTGGGAACTTTTTATAGTGTAAATTAATGATAGGTTCTTTTTAAAACATTTTTATTAGCATACATTAGTTGTATAGGAAGGGTTTCATTATGACATTTACATATGTGTTTACAATGTATCTTAATTAGAGTCACCCCCTCTACCATTCTTCCTCATTCTTTCCCCACTTCTTGAAACAACTGAAACAGGTTTCATTGTTCTGTTTTCATATATACATACACAGTATAGGGATCATATTCCCCCTCCTTCACTCTCTCCATTTACCCTCTTCCCACCTGCTACTGGGACCTACACCAGGTCAGAACCTGTTTTACCTTCCTTTCCTTCATTTTCTTAAAGTGTATATTGATTTTAAAGAGGGTTTTCCATTTTATTTCAAACATGTATATACTATACTTTAATCAGATTAATCCCCTCTATTACTCTTTCTCCATTCCTGCTCCCCTCTTATTCAACAAATTGCAGTGTACTTTGTTAATGCTATCTTCATATACAGATGCAATATATTTCGGTATTACTTACTCTCTATCATTCTCTTTTCCTCTCCTGCTTCCCCCTCGGTCTCCTCAAACTGACCCACCATTACAATCATGTTCCTTCTTTTCCCTCTCTCTCTCTCTCTCTCTTGCTCTTTACCTGTACACAACATAATTTCGTTCTTCCTTATGTCTGAATAATACTCCATTGTGTATGTATACCGTTCACCAGTTGTAGAGCATCTGGGCTGCTTCCAAAGCTTAGCTATTGTGAATAGTGCTGCAATAAACATGGGTGTGCAAGTGGCTCTATTGTGTCCTGGCTTACATTCCTTCAGATACATAACCTGGAATGGTATTACAGATCATATTGCAGTACAATTTTTGAGGAATCTCCATACTGCTTTCCATAGCAGTTACACTAACTTACATTCCCACCAACAGTGGATAAGGGTTCCTTTTCCCAAATTCTTGCTAACATATATTGTTTGTATTATTGATGATGG